ATATCTATTATAGTCATTACTATTTCTTGTGTTATAGTATGTACTTGTTTATTTACAGCACAGTTACACTTTTCTTTTGCACATAAGATTGTTCCTTGAATGTATAGTGATGTATCTTCAGTGTACATTATAAGTGGCACTTCCAACACAAGGCAGAACAATAATTATTGTTCTGCCTTGTGTTGGAAGTGGTACATCATTTGCACATAAAATGAAAAATAAGAGACCAAGAATAGAACCCTGAGGAACTTTATAGTATCTGGAGGGTTACTTGACAAGTATCCCTTCACTTGATTTTTTGCTGTGTGTGTAACTTTCACTTGTGTTCTGCTTGTAAGATGGGATTTGTTTTCTATATTATATTTAAGCATCCTGTTGCACTCTACACTTCTATATGTATAATATAAATATAATATAAATTTATATTATACGTATAGAAGGGTTTTGTTTTGTTTATGTGGTATACCATGAACTCCATGTTGGTATATTTTATCCATAAGAGTGGTATGTTCAATTCAATCAAATGCTTTTGGTAAGTCTTATAGTACAAAATTGCATTTTATTTTGTTATTCAGATATTCAATTATATTTTTGATAATTGTCACAATAGCATCTTTTATGGATTTATTTTTCCTAAATCCAAATTGACGTTGTCAAAGAAAAATTAGCTAATTTGTTGTTACATTTCCCAGAATCTTTGAAAGAGTTAGGGCAAGAACAATTGAAAAATAATTGTTTGCATCTTTTTTGTCCATGTTTTACAAATTGGTTCAACTACCAGTTTTTAAGGTGGATGAGAAGATGCTGTCTCTGATGCATTGACCAATTCTAAAAGTTGCTTAAACATATATTTTTTTTATTGCTAGTGGGGTGGGACTAAGTCCCTTGTACTGCGGCCACTTCTGGCCTATTTTACCAACCCCAGATGATAGGTGAGGGTGATTGTGGAGCAATTGGTGAAGTGAAGATTGGCAGGGGAAACAGAAGTATTCGGAGAAACCTGCCCCAGCGCCACTTTGTCCACCACAAATCCCACTTAACCAGACCCAGGATCGAATCCGGGCCACCGCGGTGGGAAGCCAGCGACTAACCACTTGAGCTATGTCGCGGCCTGCTTAAACATGTAAGGCAGGCATTTTTTTAATATGTAAGGTGAGATGTCATTAAGTTCTGACATTTTTTACCCTTCAGGCTGTGGACTACTTTAGTTAAGTTAGGCTCTCTTATTTCTAATAGAAAAAATCTTTTTGGCTTAGTGTATTAGTATTAGTTTGTGAATTTATTGCATTTTTGTTAAGTAAGAGTTTATTTATGTCCGCCTCTGTGGTCTAGTGGTCAGTGTTCCTAGTTACAGATCCAGAGGTCTGGGTTCGATTCCCGGCGCTACCAGATTTTCTGAGAAGTAAGTGGGTCTGGAACAGGGTCCACTCAGCCTCATGAGGATAATTGAGGAGCTATTTCAAGGAAATAGCGGCTCTTGTCTAGAAACCGAAATTAATGGCTGTGCGGATCTGTTGCACTAACTACGCAACACCATCTATCCGCAAAAGTTGGCGCTAAACTTCGCCGACAAGCAGCAGTCTCTCGGTCAGTATAGTTTGCTTGCGGACTAAAATCACAGAGTTTGAGTTTTATGTTCAGACCTAGTGCTGATTTTATGCAAATTTTCTACTGTGGGCACTCTGTGTTTACATTTTTATGCCTGCTCCCCCCTCCCCTACAGTAATGACGGTGTCTGTCTTCATTTATTTAGGATTGCATGTGTACTTTTCCTTGCTTTTCTTACACAACCACTTTTGACACAGGTGTTGTACATGAATACTCATTGTTCCCATGTTGAATTTAACATAGGAAATAACATGACTGAGTTGTGACACTTATTGCACAGGTCAAATACAGTAGCAGTAGCAACATGAAGTTCAGGATTTATGAATGGCCAGGCACATAACATGTTAGCATGCTTTATTCTACATATTCAGTGATTTATTGGGGTGATATTAAAGATATATGTATATATGCACTTGGTTTGTTTACCGTACCATGAGTCTAGATGTGCATGAACTGGGGTGATGTGAATAGTGCAAGGAACTTTTGCTAGAATAACCAAAGTATATATGTCAAAGTCTCAAATAACCAAAATTTGCCAAAAAGTAGACCCATGTCTCCAAATAACATGTTTACATTTTATTCACACTGACTGCATTCTCTTTGTACTCCGTGTTGTTTATATTCAAATTTTCATTCACTTCACCAAGAGAATTACATAATCAGCGTAGGCAGGGGGTAAATTAAACATCATTCAACATGAGCTCTGTATTGATCCAGTTACACTTGCAAGTTCAGATTAAGTTTCTGGTAATTAAATTACTTTACACAGAGTACTAACAAGAAGAAAACCATGAACCTACTTTGTTTTGTTTCATGGATAAGAATGCCTTAAATTTAAAGAATTAATATAAAATGTTAAATTTTTATACAGTGCGTACAATCAAGTGTGCGCCGCGGCTGCAATTTGCCGTGAGTCATACCACCGCAGAACGGATGCAGTCGCGGGGAGGAGTTGCAACACTCCCCGCGACTGCATCCGTTCTGCGGTGGTATGACTCACGGCAAATTGCAGCCGCGGCGCGCACTTGATTGTACGCACTGTATAAACCTTTTGTAACTCTTGTAGAGAACTGTTTCATATAGGAAGTGTCCAAATGAAAGGACGTTTAATTTCACACCATGTGAGAGAGATAATTTAGTACAGTTTGTTAAATATGACCAAAAGGTAAATTACCTGTTGTGACACTTGGTTATTAATTTCTATATATGTTTTAAGTTTTCAAGATTCTTTCATGTCTGAGTCTTCTGATGTTTAGCTTTAAATTTAATGTCTAAGCATTCAATGTAATATGTCAAATCAATTATAAGAGTAATGGAAGATGTTCACCAATTAAATGTCCTACCCACTCATCTCAGTTTTATGAATTTTATGAAAAATATATTCATAAAATAATACATTTCTCCCCATAACCCATAAATTTTGTTGAAAACATGTACCAGATTTTTGTATATGCAGATATGTAGATTCATATAATGAAATATGACTTAAGGCTTCTTTTGGTAGCAGCAGATTTGTATGCTAAACTGAGAATGATCTTAAATGGAGTAATTTACCCCTGAGATTGTTGAATTAGAATTGACACTAAATGAGGGAAGACCTAAAACAGAGGAATAGTAATAGTTGCTTCCACTGTAAAATACAGGGTGGGGTGCAGAAACTTTCTTTTTTTGAAGGCGAATAAAAGAAAAATTATTGCTGATAGACAAAAGTTCATGTTTAGCTAATGAAAGAACATACTTTAAAGTTTTAAATCATGTAGTTTTAAACAAAATATCTTGAAGGTGGTGGCCACCGTTTTCTGAAGTTCTCCTCTGCACGTTCCAACATGTGCACCGGAATTTGGGCTACTCCCTGCTGAATAACATTCTTCAGCTGAAGCAGGTTTGTGGGGCGATGTTTAAAAACCTCTGCCTTGAGGTGTCCCCATAAAAAAATCACAGGGCATTGGATCAGGTGAGTGCGCTGCACACGGGATGTCACCTCAAAGCAAGATGAGCCGTCCGGGGAACTTTGCCCTCAAAACTGTCATCGAAGCTCGGGCTGTGTGGGCCGTAGCACCATCCTGTTGGAACCAGACATTTCCTAGATGTATCTCTTCAAGAGCTGGTTCAAAAATATCTCAAAATCGACTGTCGAACTGCCTCCACATTTTCTGGTGTCGTAATGGTCTGTTGTCATCCTGATGATATTTTCACCACACTCCCGGTTGTCCTGAAGTTCTCTACCCACAAAACAATCGATTTCCAGTCGGGAACCGGACCTCTGGGCTCAATTCTGAAGTGAGTACGGAACGCATGCTGCACCGCCACTTAGGAATGGTTGTTCGAAAAATAGGCTTCGACAGCAAACGCATGCTGCTCACTCATCCACCTCATGTTTCCTACTGAAGGGTATTAGACAGAAACTTCTGCGACTGCTGCGTTCGCCGAGCGTATCCCCACTTTTCTGCGACCTCCTCTCCCTTCAGAATGCGTCTTCACAAAAAGGAAGTTTCTGCGCCCCACCCTGTATAAGTTATAATTAAAAGAAAAAGACAAGCTATCCCTGTAAGAAGCTCTGAAGGCCCATAGGATTGTGAGACATTGAGGCTCCCACATTTTTTAGACAATCAGCTTACAGATGGCAGTAAGGTTGTTAGCCTTATGCACCGGCCGCCATTTACCCCCCAAGAAGATTCCTGGTACTCATTTCTGTTAGAGGCTGAGTCGACCCCAGGGCCATAGTGCAGCTGGAAGGATTAGGTCAATTGAAAAAAAAAAAACATCCACCTCATCTGGATTCGAGCCTGCAAACTTCCGGTCTTTAGCGTACTGCCTCAACCAACTACACACCATGTGCCCCATACAAGCCTTACTTAGCTTAGAAAATCAAAATTATATCAGAATATCTCTGGTAAAATGTTCAGATATGTGAAGATATAACAGACTTGATGTCATGAGGAGGTACACACATGCAGGACACCTAATAATGCCACTTTTTATCTCATAATTATAAAGTGATTTATGTTCCATAATATTAAAACCTATGTGGTTTTTTGTTAGAGCATGACCAAGAATTTGTGGCTGATGTACAGAAACATGTTTCAGTACTTGTAAGTGAAATCATCCCAAAACTGCTGTTGTAGGGGTTTGTTGGGTCAGTTGTTGGTAGTGTTCATTCTGTGTAGTTCAACTTTACTCACTCCAACTTTCAGGCAATCCCTGGCACAAGCATTTGCCACCACTTCTTGGTTCGTCTCTGCACCATATGTTTGTTATGTTTTTGTAGTGTATTGTATACATAAGTAATTAAGTCACAGTATTACTTCCATCGGTTTGTTTTATTTGACTACATATAAATGAAATATAGCATGCTAGGAATGCATTTCTTTTTTGTGATTACCCCCTCTTAGCCTTCATATTGGGTGAGTTGCCAGTCCAGTTCAAGACAGCGAGTAACCAGGCTCCACTTTGTATCAGCAGCCAAGTCACAAGTACGAGCTTCACATATGTTATGTCTATGACTGCTGTTTTTTTGTGTACTGCTGTATAGTATACACATGCTTTCATATAGGACAGAACTATGCTAAGATCCCTTTGTTATCTGCACTGATGCTGCAAATCTGCATATGTGTTGGCAAGTATTTGTATAATTTCTGCTGTCCAATAAATGCTAAATAGCTATGTTAACTCATTTGTTCTTCCTGCACTGGATTATTTAGTTATGATTTAACGATCAAGTCCTTGTAAATACTGCATTGCAATAATTGGAAAAATAACAATATGTTATACCTTGTGCTTACCATGATGGCTTTTTGAAATTAAACCCAAGTACAAATTAACTGGTCCAGTGACTACACCCGCTGGGGTAGGTTGGTTCACATACTGGCAGAGGAATATGATGAGGACTCATAATTTTTCCATTTCCTGATATTCTTCCATTTTTGTGTTCAGTCCATATAATCATGTGTGCAACCACGTGAACTATTTAGCTTAGATACACCTTTATTAATTTCAAATTTCATTATAGTGAAAGATTATGTTATGAGTATCTATATAATGAGAGCCTAGTAAGAAATATTACTTGAAGCACCACTAACTTCTAATGTTAATCTAGGGAAGTGGAAGGCTTTGAAAATTGTTACACATGAATTCATTACATCTTAAAACTGTGAAAAATTTCTTAAAGATAGGACGTGTATAAAAGGACATATTTTATTGCTGAGACAAACCTGAAAACATGAAAATACTTGTTTCTGGCTTTGCCTAGCATGTGGTAAATGTTTGATTATGAAACCCGAATTTACTCACCATTCTGAAATTTTCCCAGGAAACTAAAGAACCATAAACCATGAAATTATATCTGATAACACTCTCATGCATTATGTTTTAGATGAACAGGAACTGTCGTAGAAGTGGAAAGAATCCATTAATGTGTGATATAGAAAAAGACTGAAGAACAGACAATTAACTCTGGAAAAATTTCAGGTTGACTGCATACAGAATTTTATTAAACATTCTTCCAGCAAAGTTAGCTGTGTTTGTAGATGAAGTTGTTAGGGATCATTTTTGGTTGCAACATAACAGATCAACTATAATTATTAGATCATCAGCATCTGTTGATAAGTGAGAGAAAAAATGAGACTTATGGTACAGAAAAAAGCCTACTATAGACTTAAACAAATACATCTTAAAGAAGTACTGCATATCATTCTCGTTGAATTTGTAACGTGCACCCAAAATTAGTAGGGTTAATCTATGCTTAAATGAATCCTGTAATACAATTCGTGTAGGTAAACATGTGACACATCTTATATTCAGAATACTGGTTGAAGCTTCATTTGAACACTATTGAGAGAACTACTGAGAGTTTTGCTTGTTAGTATAATTTCTACATTTTCAAGTATTTATACCATTTTGTTGTTACTGTGTAAATGCTACTGGAGAAGACTTCTGAAAATAATGGTAGGAAAATTACTACATATGAGTTTGTTGAGCCAGTATCCTCCCATTTATGAATTGGAGACCACATTTCTTGTACTGAAATACTCATGTATACACACGCACGAACATTTCTTTTAGTGTGTTACTCTAACAACAGTGCTAAAGTAGAGTCGTCCACTTTTAAAACTTATGCATAATTGAAGAAAGCAGTCTCCTGGGATGTGGCACCATGTAGATGTGGTGTTAACCAACGTTTCGGAGGAACGTATCACCTCCATCTTCAGGGTAGAAGGAAAAATAAGAAATCTGCAAGCAAAGAGACCATGAGAACTGGTACAAACCGAAACGTCGGTTAACGCCACATCTACACGGTGCCACATCCCAGAAGAATGCTTTCTTCATAGTCACTGCTGTGAAAACCTCAAATCTTACATTATGTATAATTGTTTCATAGAACTGGTATTCACAGTCAGTGAGTAAAGTTGTGCTTTCTAATATACTGTGGCTGTTGATTATTGCCTTTTTGTCAGCAAGCTTAGATTCTACTAGTTTTGTTACCAGATAAAATACATGTTCTTATTAAGTGCATTATTTGACTTAGAGTTTTGACTGTTAATTAAGATTAAAAAGGTTTTCAAGGTAACATTTGTATAATAATCTCACTGAGGAAAGGATGAAGTTCATTTTTTTTTTTTAAATTGGCTTAGTGGGGAGGGGTGGAATCCAGCTGGATCCACCCAGCATGGCGGCCACTGATTGGCCTATTGTAGCCTGCCCTTAGTGATTATGAAGATGGAGAATTTGGTGGAATGAAGATTGGCAGGGGAAACCGAAGTACTCGGAAAAAACCCACCCCAGCGCCATTTTGTCCACCACAAATCCCACTTGACCAGACCCGGGATCGAACATGAAGTTCAGTAGCTTTTGTATTGTATGCTTAATGTGTAAGATCAGATGAAATTCCACTTCTAGCTGTATTGAATAACCACATATTAGGCCTTAGTATGCAGATAATGTGGTAGCATGGCTTTTTAGAGCTGGAGAGGAAATAACAGTAGCATACTTTGAATTGATATAAGCACTAGCCACAGTTGATGAAGGTGAATAAATGTAGCCAGTTTTTTAATGTGAGGATCAACTGATTGCTATAATAGTTACCACTTTTCTTATTATGCTAGCATTCAGTAAACCTCCAGTTTTGCTAGTATTGAATGGCCGAATGAAATAAAGTGGTTACAGTATACTCGTATATGCTTAATCACAAATTCCAAAGTCAGTCTACTTCAGAAGTGAAGAGGACGAAAGTTTTCAGCTGACTGCATTAATTTTGTGAGAGTTATTGCAACATGCATTCAGAATCAGATTTCTGTAACAAGAAAGGATAAATTTCACTGTGCAGTAAATTTTCTTCTTGCAGATTTTCTGCAACAGATTCTGTTTTTCTGTTTCAGTTAATGTTCAAAAATTTGATCTGTTGTAAGGGTGGAACTGTATAAGAAGTTTTGTCTTCAGACTTTCTCTGAATTGGTAGATTTTGTTTTCTTTAATTGTGTAACAGTTTACCTCTGAAACTACATAATAGTATGTTGATAGCATTGTGAATGATGTAACTTTAAAAACAAATTAATCGTGATGTATTGTGAAATTTGTCTACCTTTTATTAGGGAGAGAAAATCTGTATTGTGATATTTGATCTATAGGTCTCCTGAATGTGAGGCAGGCAAATTTGGCCATATGACAATTTTAAGTGTCAGAGTAATTATATATAATTGTTTTAAAGGCATTGGCATATAATCAACTCTCATTCGTACAGCAAATCACGTTACTGCTGACTGTAAATCTTGCCACTAGCTCTGATAAGACCATTGTATAGAAACTGTTTTGAGCAGCATTGACAGTACCTGTAGCATGTAGTGTGTTATCTGCTGACATTTCTTTTCCTGTAACTGCTTCTTCTGCCTTAGCATGAATAAACATTTTCTTGTAAGCATGTGTCAGGAAGCATGAGTAGTTTTAATGCTGCATTCCAAATCTCAAGATTTTGAATGAGGATGAAATTCCCAGTACTTTGTCTGTGTAGTAATAATTCTTGACTAAAACTTTATTCATTTCTTTTTAAACAGTAATAAAAGTGACAAACTTTATATATGCTCACTTTCATTAATAAAAATAATTCAATATCCTAGTGGTTGTGTGCTTCATTGCTTTAGTGATGCCATCACGACAGTCACTACTCTTTCCAGAAATAAATACTATTAGATAATTGGCCTAAGTAAGATAAAAATATTTCCCAACGAAATATGTATTGCAATTAAGATACAATTCATAATGTTGGACAAATTTGTAACCCACATGCTTCAAAGTTTTTGTGAAGTATGCCCAATTGGTACTGTTTTGTTAACAGTACCGGTGCTGGGAAATTCAATGAGAGCATGAAGAAATGCAGTGGTTAGAGTTTGAACTTTTCTGGAATGCAGTGTTATTTGGTATAATTCAACTTGCAGTACTTTTTGCATGTGTTGCACTTTTTTGTGTGTGTTATCACCAGTATTGTGACACTAATTTAAATATAATTTTTTTATATTTCTGAAGCATCGACGTAAATTGTTTGTATGAAAGACAATGTAGAAATAACTGTGTCTCATATGTGAGGGCTATTTAGAAGGAAACCTCCAGTGAGTTGTTAGCAGACAAGCAGTGAGAAGAAAAAAAAATAATTATATACAGCAAATACGTACATCCTTGTGCTACTTCTTAATGTAGTCACCATCGGAATTGACACACTTGTATTGTGGAATAAGTTTTTGTATGCCTGTGTCCAAAAAGTCTGCCGCCTGTGAGCTTAGCTATATTTTGACACATTCCATCAGTTCTTTATTATTTTTGAAGTGCTCTGACCCCAACCATTTCTTCTGATAGATAAACAAGTAGTAGCTGCTGGGAGTGAGATCAGGGCTGTAAGGAGGGTGGACAAAATACTCCCAGTTGAAATGCTCCAGCAGTGCTTGAGTGCTAGCAACTGTACACGTGTGGACACGCGTTATCATGGAGGAGCCCTACACTGGATATTAGCATTCCATGCAATTTTTTAGTGTCTCGCAGTACACTTCTGATGTTATCATGGTGCTTTGTTCCATTAATTCTACCATCAGCACTCCTTTCCTGTCCCAGAAACAAACTGCCATCAGCTTTCTGGCAGACAACTGTGTTTAAACTCTTCAGCTTATTTGGTGAATGTGTGTGCATCCACTGCTTTGACTGTTGTTTGGTTTCAACATTAACAAATGAAACCAAGGTTTCATCACCTGTTACTTGTATGATGTGACTCAGAAATTCATTGCCATCTTTGTGGTATCACTCTAAGAAAGTCAAAGCCATTCTCTGCATTGTGTGCACACCTGTCAGCATTTTGAGAACCCGTAATGTGCAAAACTTGTGATGGACTATCCTAACTGTGATAATCTTGTAGAAGACAGCGCATGGAATTTGTGGAAATTCGCATGAAAGTTCTGAAATTTTCAAGCGCAGACTTTCACAAATTTTTTGGTCAGCACTTTGAACAAGACCATCACTCACTACAGATGGCCGACAACTGCTCTCTTCATCATGAACTTTTGTTTGCCTGCCCAGCTCTGAACATTCTACATCGTCTTACAATTCTTTCACTCAGTACGTTTTGGCTGTAAACTGCCACACATAATTCATGGTGGATTTCTGCCGCACTCATACTTTTAGCTTGGAGAAAGTGGATAACATTGTGAATTTCACAGCTAGCGGGATCATCATAACGCTTTAGAGACGAAGAAACACTAGGTGACCAGTTATGTGATGGTTTACAAGGCAATCAGTCATGTGATTCTACCTCGCATGCACGAGATCTCCCCCGCTCCTACATTAATTGCCTAAGGTAAACAGAGGTTACTTTCCAAATAGCCCTGGTAATAAAACAGTTGTAAATACGTAGCTAAAGTATTCCAGTTGAAGTTTTAAGATGATATGCACACTGATTGTCAGTTGAATGAAACATGTTCTCAGGTAGCAAATGTGGTTCAGATTATTACAGGAGTTTCAGTATTTCCTGACAAGTGATAGTGTGAATGGCATTAAGCATTCTCCACTTTACAGTGAGCATTTATATTTATAATCTTGTCTAGATTTTCTGATGTTCATTTTTGTGGCCACGTAGAACCTCTTTCTGAATATTTATAGGCTGTTCATGAGTTTTCCTGTGTATGGAAATGGTATTTATGTCTCCTTTTATACTTATTTCAATGCATTTTTTGTTTTGTTTTCAGAGTTTAGATGGCACAAATGCTTTCCTGGGACAAAGAAAACTGGTAAGTGACATGTTTATAACACATGTATTTTTAAATTGTTTTAAGTTTGATATTTAAAAATGCTGGCAGTATAAAGACTATGTAGCATTGATGCTTCATATAGATGTACTGTATTTTGAGAGAAAAATCCCTCTTTGTTTAAATATAACCAATTTTACATATGAAATATTGAGCATAAGGAACCTTTGTCTTTATTAAAGAGGAAACAGGACCGAGGTTTAAATCTGCCAAGGATGTTGCATGCTGCTGTTGGGAGGAGGCACTTTCAGAGGCATTAATTAACAGACATTGAATGTATCAAAAACTAAAATTGACAGTTGTTTCAAGGGCACCATTAAACTGGTATATGACACTGGTATAAAGTATTGGGTTTGTGTTGTATCACAGTATTTCAAGGGTACACAGATGTGCGTAGTTGTAACAGATTCAGTGTATACTGGGGTTAAATGAACAACAGAAATCACAAAAAATAGTATGTAGTGAAAAGAAATTAAAATGCTTAATGATTGAAGTAGTAGATATGTTACACTTCCTACCCGAGGGACTGTTATGTTGGAAACTCTAAAATACTGAAATATAATGTTAGAGTTGGCAACATCATAGTAAACAATTTAAGAACTAGGTTATGTCTTGTTACCTAAGTGATGTTTACTGTTATATGTAACCACAGTTACGTGTGTAACAACAATATCTTTATATTGTTACGAGGGGGGACCCAAAAATAACCGGAATTTATTTTTGTTATTTTTTATTTTTGCATTTTTATTGAACTGTATATTAGTCCCCTTCAAAGTATTGTCCATGTGCATTAATGCACTTGTCCCAACGCTTTTGCCACTGCTCAAAACAGTGCTGGAATTCTTGAGGCTGGATACTGTTCAAAGCCTTTAGCGTGTTTTCTTTGACTTCATCCACATCACGGAATCGCTTTCCTTTCAGACTTCTCTTCATCCGTGGAAACAAAAAAAGTCTGACGGAGCCAGGTCGGGCGAGTAAGGTGGATGAGGCACAATCACCATGTTGTTGCTTGTCAAAAACTGTCGGACCGTCAAAGCTGTGTGGGCTGGAGCATTGTCGTGGTGAAGCAACCAGTTCCCATTTCTCCACATTTCAGACCGTTTTTGTCGCACACTCTCTCGTAATCTTCGTAACACA